TCCCATGTCCGGGCATGCTGCTTGTTGTCCTCCAAGGCAGCCCAGAACTGGGTGTCCGAACGGCGTGGCTTAACCACGCCGTGGCGAAACCCCGGTGCGTCCTCATATACCGCCTTGGATCGGTGGCGGTTCTGAAGATATAGAAGTGACGGATCACTGGGGCCGGGGTGTGGGGTGTAGGGTCGAGGGTTCGAGGATGACGAAGCCATTTTCTGAAAAAATGACCGAGATTGTACCAATTGTTAATTTTGAAATGACCGAGATTGATATATTATTTAATAAATATTATTCATTTTTTGTGTATCTAATTACGCAGATCGTGTAATTGCGATAGATATCATTTTTTGTATTATTTATAATTTTGAATATATTTACTTAATTACTATATGATTTATATTTTAGAATATAATTTATTCAATTAATATAAATATTTATAAGTTAGAATATAATTACTTAAATATACATAATTTAATGATATTATAAATTATAAGTAATATAATAATTCAATATTTATATTTTATAATAATTGAGTAAATAGATTCTAATATATTACTTATAATTTATATCTATCATTATATTATTTATTTTTTAGAATATTTTTTCTTAATTGTTATATTATTTATAATTTAAATTTGTTTATTAAATTATTATATTATTTTAAAATTTATAATCTATTTTATTAATTATTATATCATTTATAATTTAGAATATTTATAATTTAAAATAAATTTATTTAATTATTATATATTAGTAATTTAGAATATATTTACTCAATTATTATATTATTTATAATTTAGAATAACTTAATTTAATTATTAAATATTAGTAATTTGTAATCGAATTACGTAATTATTATATTATTTATAAGTTAGAAAATATTTCTTAACTATTACATTATTTATAATTAATTATATATATATATATATATACTTAATCAATATATTATTAATAACTTAGATATATATATATTTAATTAATACATTATTTATAATCAATTGTTATTATATATTTTCTATACGTTAAGATATATATAAGTAGAATCGCATTTATAACTACATGTCGAGTAGCCCAGTTGGTGGGAGATGTCTTTTTCAACCCAAAGGTACAGGGTTCAATCCCCACTTTTGAGATTTTAATTTTAAGTTTACATATTGACAGCAGGGTATAATCGTAAATTCATTGATAAAGTAAGGGTATAATGGTAAATTAAACAAAAAAGTAACGCCGTTAGTATTAAAGTAACGGTGTTAACATAAAGGGGCGAGTCTGCATGTAAACATTAAATACAAGGGGGTTTGACGCAATTTTTGAAATGTCAGGGTAAAACGCGCAGATTTCATATAATACAGGGAGATTTGGTGCAATAAACCCTAATTTAAATATAAGAGAGGGTGTTATGGCATTTAGGTCCCACTATTTATGTGTGTAAATTATTAAATTACCCTTAATAAAGTATAATTTTCCTTTTTTTAGCTATTAGATCCATTTATTCTCATAGTGCGGTACCCGTGGGATGCACGGGCTAGTATTATTAAATGAAGCATTTAGATTTGGATGCTTAGATGATTGGTGAGAACATAAAACAGATGCATTGGAATAAAACAAAATGTTAATTATATATTATTAAATACCTCATTGTACACAATAACTAGTACGAATCCCATGCATCAATATTTATAAATTAAAAATACTAATTAAATAATATTTATAATTAAAATATAGAATCAATATGTAATACACTGTACTTATATTAATTTATTGAAAATGTTATATGAAATTTACGGTAATTTTGTCAGAGTTACAGTAATTTTGTTATGTTAATTTCATACAAAATTGAAACTCACGCCTAAAAACCAATATATTGACTTGCGCAATATAGAAAAGAGTACACCGTATATTGATTAAGTTTTCAACAAATTTTCTACCAAAAAACAATCATCAAATAACCTAAATAAATTTGATCACTTTATATATATTGATTGATTTATTTCCTATAGAAACAACCATCAATACCAAAAATAAATTCGTCCACTTTATACCATATATTAATTAATTCACATGAT